AATTAAAGGCATGCATCACCCAGCTTCTTTCTGGTTTTGTTTTCATTTTATTTTGTTTTTGAGTCCACACTAGCCCCAAACTGGCTCTGAAGTGCATGGCAATCCTCTACCATCGGGTAGTGTGAAGCCACTGACCAAGCCTTTAACACCTAGGTCCTGGAGGACAACAGTCCAGCCCACCTGAGCCAGCACCAGTAGTACCCAGACCTTGACAAGTGTCTATAGAGAAATCATCCAGCATTCAGCAGCCACTGAGGTGGTTGTCACATGTGTCAGATGTGACAAGGTTACATGCAAGGCAGCAGTAATAACCAGGTGTAGTACTTAGGGCTGTAATCTAGTGCTCAGTGTGCAGAGGCAGAAGGGTCTCAAGCCAGCCTGGGCTACATAGAGAATTGCTGGTTAGCATGGGCTGTGAAGCAACATCTCATCTCACACATGTATACATGCACTCAAAAAGGAAAGGAGCGACTAAAAAAATGTTAGGTGACAAGCAGGTGAAATAATTTTCCTTGGGCCAAGCCAGCCTGTCACTCACGTGTCATTAATTACCCCATCCTCATCGACATGTCTTTCTGAAGATTGTAGATTGCAGCTCTCTCTAGTGGCTTCCTTCCCACCCCCTGGTAACACTTCTGCCTTTTTCCCTATTGGCCCTTTCAGGGTAAAGTCCACTCTCCTTTAGTGCATTGGCTCTGTCTCCCTGATGCCTTGCTATTCCTGTGTCCTGGAACCTCCTGTAGTTCTCCAAGTGCATTAGACTTTACCACAGTGCTCCCTGTTCACATGCTCTATGCCCCACTTTGGGAACAACCTCAGATCTTTGCCTCTAAACTGGACTGTGTCCCCTTGGACGTGACCCCATTCTGAAGGTACTTTCAGAGAACTGACTCTCTCATAGCTCAAGTGTTACAAAGCGGGTTCCTGGGAAATTAGGGCTAGAGAAAACACAGCCAAATGGCATAGGTTTTTGTTTGCTTTCTCTTTCTTTTTCCTGAGACAGGGTTTCTCTGTGTAGCCCTGGCTGTCCTGAAACACACAACCTGTGCTATAGACTAAGACCTGTCTCAAAAAGCCTATATTCCTTGATCATTTTTGTCTTACATGAAATACAGTTGTAATTTGTGATGCTCCCTGGGTCAGTTCTGGGCAGTTTTCAGTTAAAGATACTTTTTTTACTATGAGCTGGTTTATTTTCCTGCTTCTTTGCAATACCTCTAATTTTTTGTTTTGTTTACTAATCTGAGCTGCATGAGACAGAGGCAGTGCTATCTCCCTGGGCATGGCCACACATGCCCACTCAGCATCCAGGAGGCCCACAAAAAAAAAAAAGTTGAATCCCATCATTTTTTAAAAAGATTTATCTGATTTATATGTGTTTTGCTTGTGCCACCTGCTTGTTCGCGGAGGTAGAAGAGGACATTGCATACTCTGGAAATGGTTGTGTGCATCTAATGGGTGCTGGGAACCCAACCGCAGGCCTCTGTAAGAGCTCTTACAGAGCCTTAATCCCTGAGCCATCTCTCCAGCCCCAATTTATCAGGTTTCTCCAGTCTGAATAATGATCAGACCATGACAACACCGACCCAAGCTTACCGAGCCACCCACCCGTGACCCAAAGAGGCAGCACCCTGCTGCTCCACCTTGTCTTTTCCTCCCTCCCGCGGGCTCCAGTCCCACACCATCGTTTATTTCAGCTTCACCAGGTGGGGACAGAAAAGAGGGAGGCCTTCTGCACCCGGACACAGCCCAGCAGGGCAGCAATCGCCGAGGACCCGGTCACTGGATTCCGCAGTGACCACACGGCCGCCGGGCGCAGCTCAGAAAGCGCCGCGCGGCCCTCTGCCGCCCCCTTCTGCCGCAGCGTGGACACTGCAGACCCGCTCACCCGCCTCCGGATTGGCCACGATGCAAACCCGGGCGCCGAGGCCCCGCCTCCTCTCCGGGTTCTTTGATCACGCGCCGGAGGGCTCTTCCGGGGCCGGAGCCAACCCACGGTGTTGCTGTCAGGGCTGCACGGCGGGAGGTAAGGCATGGCCGGGTTGGATGGGCTGCAGCGCGCCGGCATCCGGCAGCTCGGGGTTCCAAGGCGCCCCGGTGGGCAGCGACCCCCTCGGCATGCCCCAGCACTCCCCTCCAAGCCCCGAGCTTCCTTCCCAACGCCGTGGGAACCACCTTCTGCCCGCCAGTTGGCCAGCACCCTAAAAGCGGCCCTTCCGGTTCTGGCCCCCTCAGACGGGAAGCTCGCGACTGGGAACCGGTGAAACTGGCCTGCGGACATGGGGGCAGTTAGTCCATCCCTCTTCCTCTGAGAGTCCGGGACAGGAACTTGGGCCGCCGCAGGGTTATCTCGTTTTTGTGGATGAAAGCCATCCTCTCCACCTCTGCCTGTCAGCTCTGGCCCAGAGGGGAGGGACATGGGCGGAGCCCCGGGTGTACTAGACAGGTGACATCATCTGGAATATAATGTCTATCTCTACAGTGTCCACACTATTACAACAGACCGAAGCTGAGGGTCGTGTCTAGGATTACGTCGGGTACCAGGAGGGTGTAGAACCCAGGCCTGGAGCTCCTAGCCCGTAGTGTGGGGATGAAACCAGGGCCACTTCACACACTGCAGGTCCCTCTCATCTAGCCTCTAACCTCCATTTAGCCTTGCACCTGAAAATGTCTAGCAAGCATCTGAGCAGGAAGCAAGGCAGGCCTGGCTGGGATCTAGGCCTACCTATCTTTGGTGCTCAGAATATGGTTACCTGGGTGTCCCATCCCAGTGTTTGGCCTTAAATTCTCCTGGATTTCCACTCCAGCTCTTGGGGAGGGATACAAACCTGTTTGTCACCATTAAGTACCACTGATAACCTCACTTCCTCCTCCCCAGGGAGCCCAGGGGAGGCGCCCTCCCGAGGCCACCATTGCTCATGCAGACCATTCAGCCATCTGGCTACTGATGTCATGAGTAACACGACAGTGCCCAATGCCCCCCAGGCCAACAGTGACTCCATGGTGGGCTATGTGTTGGGAACCTTCTTCCTGATCACCCTGGTCGGGGTGGTGGTGGCTGTGGTAAGGAGCCCCCACATCAGACATGGCTAAGGCAGCTGCTGGGGGGGCCTAGCCTGGTGCCCACAGCATCTCAGATGGTCTTTAAGGGTTGGAAGTGGGTCCCTGACAGGCCATGTTGACCTCCCCAGCTTCCACAGTCCTGTGTCTCTGTTACAGGTGATGTATGTACAGAAGAAACAGCGGTGAGTGTTCCCTTTCCCGGGCTCTGGCTAATCACTGGCCCAGGTTATCTCTAGCTTGAGGGAGGGGAGCAGACACCAGATTCAAGTGTCAGGGCCTGGGCTGAGCCTTGCCTTTCCATTCCCTAGAGTGGACAGGCTTCGCCATCACTTGCTTCCCATGTACAGCTACGACCCCGCCGAAGAGCTCCATGAGGCTGAGCAAGAGCTGCTGTCTGATGTGGGTGACCCGAAGGTGAGAGCACCCTGAACCCAGCACTGTTCTGCCCTCTGGACCAGCCAGGTACCTCTAAAAATGCTGGAGAACAGGGTGGTTGGAGCCGCTTGCTCTCCTCTTCCCCACAGGTGGTACATGGCTGGCAGAGCTACCAGCACAAGCGGATGCCCTTGCTGGACATCAAGACATAAACTGTCACCCAGACAGGTGCAGGATGTCCATTGTGAAAGCACCCTCAGCTGGCCCCAATGATGGGCCTTTTCCCTCCTGGAGTGGGTGGCTGAGTGACAGCTTTGTTCCCTCTGGCTTGCTTGGGCCTCGCTTTGGCATAATCTAAGAGGCCTGTAAAGTTGTTTCCATGGTGACAGGCCCAGTATCCAGTGTATATATTTTGTAAATAAACTTTTGTGGCTTCTTACCCTTGCTCTGTGGGGTAGGGTAGCTGCCTGCCTGCAGCAGCACCTTTTACCTCTTGCTTGGTTTATGCCCTCCCTGCTTACCCCCACCTCAAACCAGAAAAACTTAGTCCAGAAAAGGCTTTTTTATTCAAGTAACTGCAAATAGGAAACCAGAGGGGGAGCCCCAGGCTGGGACAAATACTGGCCACCCCTCCCCCACAGAACAAGGGGAGGAGGTGGTCCTACACCCTTTTCCCATCAAAATGGGCCCACCTCCTCACTCTGCTGCAGCATCCAAGGGGCAGGGCCCCACCTTCCCTGGGGTGGTGGCTAACCAGCCTGCTGCGCCCCAGCCCCCCTTTCCCCTAGAGTGTCTTGGGGAAAACGCAGGCAGAAAGGGAGGGTGAACTTTTGGCGCTGGTAGCAGCAGCAATGGTGGGTGTCTAAGAATGAACATTGAACAACAACAACAACAACAAAAAAAAAAAAAACCCAAAAAAAAACAAAACAAAAAACACAACTGTCCAGAGGTAGTTTGTGAACAGAGGAAAAGATGAACCAGAACCTTGGGGGGGGGGGCAGGGAGGAGCAAAAGTAGGGTGGCAAGGCTAGCTCCTTAGTGCCCCACTGGGGGAAGGGAAGCAGCCTAGAGTTGGAGTGGGGGAGGTGAGTTAGCGCCCCATCTGCCTTAGGTGGACATCACCCTGGAGATGGGTGGTGACTCCCATCCGCTGCTGCACTGGGTCTCATCATGTCCTACTGACTGTAGCTCAAGGGGCTCTAACCAACCTAGTGCAGGGTCTAGGGAAAGTGGCTGAGAAACCCACCTGGTGACAGTGGTAGGGGTGGGCATGCTAGGATCTGAGCATCCCAGCACTGACCACACTGGCTGCTAGATCAGAACTGAGATGGGGCTGGGGCCCTTTAAGGCCAGAGAGTGCTCCCAGAACCCTCCCTCTACCAGGAAGCCAGGGAGAGCAGAGCAGAAGGGACCTGCAAAACAAAGAGCCCACAGAGCAATGTCTCTAAGAGAGGTGTGCAGCAGAATAGACTGCGGCTAGTGGGAAGTTAGCCTTGTCGGGAGAGGGCAGGTGTGTTCGGGAGGGCACATGGACTGAGCCAAATCCTACTCCCGTGGGTGCCGCAGAGCCTGCACCAGAGCCTGCAGCTGGTGCGGTAGTGTGCAGAGGGGGTGAGGAGGGACATGGAAATGGGAGCAGGGCTTCCAGTCCCAAGGGAAAGCTGCTCCTTTGATGGCCAAGGAGCAGGCGGCACTGCGCGTGCAGTCACTGTTCCTCCTCTGAGGACTCCTGGGAGATACCCTCCTCTTCCTCCTTCTCCTGTGGGAGGCAGAACAACTCTGGGCCTGGCCCTCAGTCTCCACCAACACCCCTCCCTCTCTCCCTCCCTCCCAGGCTCTGCAGAAGGGGGATGAGTCAGGGCTGAGTGTGTGGGTGACTCAGCAACCTCCACGATGCTTTTCATTCATAAAAATGAAGGATTTAAAGGGAGGAAAAAAACCACACACACACACTTGCTCTCAGAGGCCAGACCAGGCACCTAGCCCAGGCCTATGCCGAGGGTGGAGGAAGTAGCAAGCTCTCCAGGGAGGAGGCAGAAGGGCAAGAGACAGAAACCAGAGGGCAGCCATTAGGTGACATAGGGCAGGTGTGGGGCTGCTTAGACACAAGAATTCCTGGGGTAGCCTGATGGTGATCTTGTGAGCCAGAGTGGAAAGGAAGTTTGCCCCAGGGGCTCACTCACCAGATGGGAATGTTGGGACACCACAGGGCTTGGCCCCACAGTGCCAGGCAAACTCCAAAACAACCAGTTTCCTGTTACTCATTCCTGGGGTCTTGCCAGCAGGGCCCCCAGCCCCTTCACTAAGGGGTGGCTCAGCTCAAGGAATGATCATGCTTTGCATAGCTTGGAAACAGGCTGAAGGGACCCATAGCACATGCTTCCCTGTCCACATCTGCACTTCCTGGTCTTTCCTAGAGGGTCCTAGGAAGGCTAAGCACACCTCCCAGAATGATAACTGAAATCAGGGATGGTTTTCTGGGGACAAGGGATCTTCTAAACCAAGGATAACCCCAATCTCACATAATAGGTTTCACCAAACATCCCTGGCCACACTGCACCACCCCCATGAGAACCTACCAGTTTCTTGGGTCTGCCCCTTGGTTTCCTCCCTGGAGCTGTGGTAGCTTTCTAGAGGCAGAAGAGGGGAAAAAAAAAACAAAAGAAACTCCTAAGTCCAAAGTGCTGAACAGTACAGAGTTTTCTAAAGCCCCCTGCAAGGCGTGACACGGCACAGGCTTGGGGAAGCCCAGGACCACCAAGAGGTCCACCCCAGTCCAGCTGCTGATGACTGGCTAGCCCACACCCCCACACTCCCAAGTGACTCAGAGGATATGAATCGTGTGCTTAAAAAATAAAAAACAAAGACCACTTTTTCAAAAAGCTGATGCTACCGTGACCCTGGCCCTCCCTGTATGCTGCATGTCCTCAGGATGAACAGGTTGACAGTCCCAGCCCAGAGCTGGTACAGCCCTCACTCTCAGTGTCTTGCCTTTTTGCAGACCAGAAAAGCTTCAACTCCTAACCTGGTGTCCCCACTGTGCAGGGCACCCCTGGCACAAACACAGGGTGCATGTAAAAAAGCCTCACCCGTGTCTTGGCGGCACCCTTGTTTTTGCTTCCCTTCGGCCGGCCCCGAGGTCTCTTCGGTGTTGGCACTTCACTTGGCTCCTTCTACAAAGGTAAGCGGCAGTCAGGGACATGGCAACAACCAAGCTGGGCCCCAAAGAGCTTACCCTAACCCAGGACCCATAGGAGCTGCAGCAGGCAAAGCCCCGGGGATGCCAAACTCGTCTGACCATCACCAAAACAAGACACCAGAAGGTGGCCCTGATCAACTCTGTCATCAACACCAGCACTCAAGAATCTGAGCCAGGAGCATAGTGCATGAGGCCATCCTGGGCAAACTGTCTCAGAAGAAGCCAGCTGGTCCAGCAAACAGGATGCAAGACAAGTGGCTGAGCTTATAGTCCTAGTCTCCCACCCTCGCTCTGGTCACACCCACTAGTCTTTGTCACCTGCAGAGGGCCACCAGCCTCCCTTACTTGGGAGATAGCTGAGAGCTCCAAGGCACAGCCAGGCAGGTGGCACAGCCAACCTCCTGCTGGCCACCCTCCCAGGGACCTCACACCAGCCTTCAATGACCATTTACAGAGCCAGGGGCAAAACAACCCCCACCACACACACAGGATCTCTTTCCCACCTGACATGAGAACAGAAACGACAGTAAGGATATAGAAACAACTTGACAAGACTTGGATTATGTGTTTAAAACTGTACAGTGAGCTACAGGCCAGTGGAAGAGCCAAGCCCTTGGCTCCATTCTGGGCAGGGCAAACATATTCAAATATTTGTAAGACGGCCTGGCCTTGCTGACTGATGACCCTGTGTGTGGCCCACACCTGCCTCCACTCTTCTGAGTGGATGTTAACACAGGGGTGGCTGTCCATAATGTGATGCTTGACACAAAGTCCTTCTGATAGTTCTTTCAGATGCCATGTTGACCGCCTTTGGGCAATGGGCACACACATGCAGTTACACAAGGAGATAGTTGTGTCACACCCTACTGGGGTGCCAGGTACCTCCCTAGCCCAAGAAAGGAAAACAAAAGCAAGATTCTGCTTTAGTCACCCACCTGACTACCTACCAGCGCCGTCCCAGGACTCACCGGAGGCTGCTTGCGCGGCCTGCCCCGGCCTCGTTTCTCAGTCCCGTCCTTTTCCTGCTTGGAGGCCAGGGGCTGGCTGGACTTTGAGCTTGACTCACTCATCTTCCTTCTCTATGGGGCACTGGCTGTGATGCTGGGAAACAAAGTGGTGTTGGTTACACAGGTGCTCCCACCACTTCCCCACCCCTCACCATCCCAAGGCACATGGCAGTAACTGCCAGTGGCAGAAGGCCCCTCCCCAGTTCACTGCCAGGGTGCCACCTGAGAGGTCAGCCAGGGCAGCCCTGGCTAGAGGGGTAAGGCTGGCCCAGGGCAAGCTGAGGTGGTTCCTCCAAGCCTAAGGAACCAGAACAGATATCAGAACCCATCACATCCAAGATCTAGAAGTGGTGGCAATGGGTAGAGATGGAGGAGCTGAGGGTGTGCTTGATTAAGTAGTATCTGAACTTGCTTTGATAGCGACTTCAGGGAAGGACAGACTCTCAAATAGACCCTTCACATTAAAACCCTCTGGGTAGCAAGGCCCAATTCCCCAGGTCCAAAACGAGGCTGCGTGTGTGTATGTGAGAGAGGCAGAGACCGAGTACGTGTCACAAAGAGGGATCTCCCTCTAGAGAGGTCAAAGACAATCAGGCATAACCAAGTTTCAGTCACAGGCCCAAGAGATTCCACTCCACACCTCTTCAGGGACCAACACAGCCTGTCTCCAATGAGGGCAAAAATCAATGGCACAGTCAGTGGAGGACAGGGACAATGCCATCTGCAGAGCTACCTACCACACTGGTGTTGAGATCAGGCTGAGGCTGACCCTGGTGCCTTAGTTTGCCGGACAGTGAGTGCTCTTTCTTACCAAGGAAGCTATGCCTGAAACCCTCTTTTCAGACTTTTGAGGCAACTGCTAATTTTGACCCAATGACAGGAAAATATTTTGGAAACTTGTGATTTTTAAAAACACTTAACGATTCCTAATTCTCAAGCATCAAGAGACTCTCCAGATGGTGGGACTCTGCTAATTATTCTATTACAATATTTCAAACTTGAGACCCCTTTAAGCAGGGTGGCTGGGCCAGCTCCATCATTAGTGGCTTGGTCTGTTCTCTAATTACAGGCCGTGATTAGAATCTTAGATTGCACCACAGGTCTTCAAACCAAACATCAAAATTAATCAGCTAAATGAGTGCTGACCTCATACTGAGGTCTGCCGGAGGCCCTTCAGAGGGGGGTCATGGGGGGAAAACCGGCCCCTATCCCAGAATCCTAGGCCAAGGGCCCAGCTTGCCTGGAGATCCTGGCCCCTGGACAGTTATGCCACCTGGTGCCTTCCCAATCCTTACTGTTTGGAACTCTTTAAACCACCTGCTCCCCACAACACCCCCACTGAATTAAGAGTTTCGTCCCTGTCCAGCGAGGCCAAGAAAACACTCATCACTTCCACCTGTTTCTGAACATCACCAAGGCCTGGCTTGCAGAAACCACATTTAGGGTCTCCGGCCTGTCTTCTCACAAAGGTGCACACACGGTGGCCCTTCCATGTTTACGGGAACTACGCAGGAAAAACCAGAGAAATAATATACTGGCAGTTCCATTGTTAGTTGTTTTTAATAGTTCAGAGAAGACCAAGCAGTTGCCAAGGTCACACAGCAACTTGGTAAAATGGGAGTAGGTTCTTGCGGAATGCTTACAGACCGACACTTTGTTCACTGAGGAGAAGCAGGTTAAGACCCTGGCGCCCTCTACTCCAGATTGAGGGTGCCTCCGCCAGCGTTCCGGCCTGGCGGTTGTAGGCCAGCGAGTCTAGGCGCTAGGGCGAGGGGGAGGGGCGCAGGCCCTGCAGGCGCGGGAAACGGCGCACCCCGACCACATGCACCGCCACGCGGGTGCGCCCGGCCCCACTTCCTGCCAGAGGGGGCACCCAAGCCCGCCTTGGGGGCAGGAAACCTGGTGCGAGTGGAAGAAAACCCCCATCCTCCCTCCCCCGAAAACCAAAACCCCAGAGAGGGGTGTAAAAAAAAAAAAATCAGAAACGGGGAGTCAAAGGGACTAGTTCTAACAGAACCCAGCAAAGCAGAGGAACCAGTTTGTAGGGGCGGAGGACAGGCCCGGCCCTGGGGGCTGAAGAAGCGCAGGGCAGGGCCAAAGGTGTGTGGGTGAAGCCCCGAAACCCAGGGCCTCGAGATCCGGCCTCGTCCACACTGAGCACTACCCAGGCAAAGGCCAAGGAAAGGCCAGAGAGGAATCGCGGGGCATCGGGCCCCTCCCCCGCACTTCTAGAACTTCCCTGGCTGAGGGGGGTGCGCGCCCACCCCCTGCCGCTGCGCAGCGCGCGCCCCTCCCCGAGGCCGGGCTCGCGGAGCGCGAGGTGCACGGGCGCCGCCGGGTGCACAAGCAGCGCTCGCCGCAGCCGCGCGCCCCCTCCCCCTCCGCGCGCCGCTACCCGGGGTCTCCGCACTCCATGGGCACGCGCGGGACGCCCTGGGCCTGGGGGGGCCGCGAGACGCGGCGCTCTGCGGAGTACCCACCCGGGCCCCGCCGCCAGCCCGCCCGCCTGCGCGCACAGTGCGGCCTCCCCTTTCCCGCGGCCCGCGCAAGCCCGGGCCTGGGAATAAAGCGGGCAGCGCGCGCCGCAGGCCCCCCGGGCGCGCCGCGGACACTCACCGCGGGCTCGGCAGGCCGCCGGCGGGGCGCGCTCGGGGCTGCCGGTCGCGGCGGGGCTGGGCGCAGGGGACCGGCCTGGGCTGCTCCGCCGCCGCCGGTCGCAAATGCGGATCTGAAACCTGGAGGGCAGAGGCGCTGAGACCGCTGCGTGCGCGCCGCCCGGGCCCCCGCCGGGGATGTGTGTCACATCCGAGCTGGGGCGAGGGAACACTGACGGATCCCGCTCCCCCGGAGGATGGCGAGGGGCAGGAAGCTGGGCACGGCCCGTGCGCGGCCTCAATAAATAATAATGTGATTAGATTCTAGACCTAGAGGAAAAAAAGAAGCCACCCGAGCGGCGGCGAACTCACGCCTTCTTGGAGCGGCGCCAACACCAGAAATAGCCCCGACTCGGAGTCCCAATTAGAGGAGCGCAGCCCCGGCTCAGGGGAGCTTAAAAAGAGCGACCCAGGGGCAGGGGGGACGGGCCCGCCCGCGCCAGCCGTGTCACCGGGGGGCGGGGCCATGCAAATGAGCCCGGGGATTTAAAAGGGCGGCCAGCCGCCGCTGCCGCCGCGCGCGTGTAGGTTGCCGGTGCCGCGGATTCTGCTCGCGCCGCCAAGGCGGGAGCGCGCGCCGACGGCCCTCGTTTCTCACTGTCCCTGGGATAGCCAGTGGAGGTGGCAGCCGCCCAGCCGTCGCCACGGGGTGCCAGGGCTCCAGCCTCGCGGGCTGTGTGCTAAAACGCTGGTACCCGCGGGGGTCCTCGCGCATCGTGAGCAGCCTTGCGTGGCCTGCACGCCTCCCTTCAGCCCCACGTCGACGGCCTCGCCTCAGTCCCTCGCTCCGGCCGGACCGGAGATGGCATGTGCGTCCCTGCTGGCCACATGGCCCATGCAAACCCCAAACATGAAACTTAATGAAACGCGAGCGAACGGTTTAGGTCTAGTATCGGCCGCCACCCAGGTGCTGGCTTCGAGGGAGCCGTGCGGTCGGCGCGTTCGCAGGCACTCGGGAGGGAGGAGCCATGAGGGGACCTGCTGCGTGGTGTTCGGGAAGCACGCGGTCCACCGGTTGGTCCCTCCGCTGTGTCTGAGACAGGGATGCCTGGAAGCACCTTGAGGGCAGGGGTTCGAGTTTCCCGCCATCAGGGCGCCTGGCTCAACAAAAGACTTGTTGCTGGGCCTGAGGAGAAAGCCAAAGTGGGAAGATGGCGCGCGGGGAAGCAGGCGGCGGAGAGGCGCGCCCTGCAGGCCGGGCGCGGGTCCTGGACGCACCTCCCCACCTCGGTCCCCTAGGAGGCCTCTCCACACCTCTCGTGATGCAGAGAATTGCAATGCTGGCCCCAATGACACACGACTGTGACTCATAGCTCTGCTCCCCTTCCTCCGCGGTCAGCCCTCTCCTCGGGGGGCGCCCGGGCGGCGGAGAGGGGAACGCGGGGCCCAGCGAGCGCCCGGCTGGAGGCGGGGTGCGAGCTGGGACGGGGGGGGGGGGCGGGCCTCCAAGTTTCAGGAATGTCTCAGGAATGTTTCCGGTGGGGGGTGGGGAGCGCGGCGGGCCCAGCCCCCCACGGGCCGTGGGACGGAGCCCCGGGCGCGGGACAGCACGTGCTCGGTGGGGGCGGGGCGCGGCGGTAAGGCGCGGGAGGCCTGGGCGTGCGGTGTACCCGCCGCGGGTCCCATACCAAGGTCCAGGTGACCCTCAGCTCCCGGGATGCCACTGCTGGGGGAGGAAGTCACGGAGGGGCGGGCCACCGGGTGGAGGGGAGCCTAGGGCGCCGGGGCAGTCTGGGGGAGGAGCGGCTGCCCCTTTGTGTGCAGCCGCCGTGGGGGCGGGGCGGGGTGGAAGCGCGCCGCGCCCTCCATCTTTGTGCCCCGCGAGCAGAGTTGGCTGGAGGGGCGCGAAGTTGCTGTGAGCGCTGGAGATCTTCGTAGCGAGGTGTGGTTGAGCAAAGCTACCAACTCCTACCAGTACATTTCCCATGACACAGGTCGTTGCCCGCAGCCTAGGACACTGGGCCCTTGCTATGGTGTTGAAGAGGGAAAGTGTGGAAATGGTCCCGCAGGCTCCTTCCCCCAGTGTAGTAGTGAGTCCTTCGAGTATGACGCCAGTGACCTGTGGTCATCCCCGGGGAAAGAAATGGAGAGGCGAAAGGGATAGCGTATCCTTTCTGAGTGGGCTTTGGGAAAGCTTGGCCAATTGCTTGGCCCATTTCTAGTAAAACTGGTGTGATCTTATTTTTCCGATTATTTCTTTTCGCCCTGATTTCCTCACCGCCTTATTTGTATCTTGTGTGTATTTTTGTAAGCTACTTAAGATCCTCTCTAGAAGGAAGCAGATATGTCTAGGCAAATAATTACCTTAGTTTGCCCCCCTTCTGGCTTATCCACTCTTGAAATATAAACATTTCTGCCCACTGAACCTCCCCACCCCCGTCCCATGCACACACCTCCATGCTTTCTGGGTTCCATGTGCCCTGGATTCTATTCCTTTTGTATTAAGATTATGTAGAAGAGTAGATAGTGTGTGGGGGGGGGGGGGTAGAAAAGGAGACTTACCCAATTCCATGTATGTAACAAAACAAATAAGGCAGGTAATAGACCTGGCCAGAGACTGCCATGAGGGAGGTTGAAAACTCCCAAGTTCTTGAGGTACATGAGTGATCAAAGTTCTGTGAAGTTTGGACTTGTGGCGGCGGGTACTTAAAGACTTAGTAGTGGGAACACCAGTTTCGCCTGAGCAGGCCTTCCTTGGATCTGGAGAGTGGGTGGAGCAGTACAGCAGGGCCAGGAGGGGCATGCTTTCTGGGTATGAATATGAGTTGTCCTCCACGTTTTCTCTCAGGAACATTGCTGTAACCGTCACAGATCCCAGGACAACCGACTCTTAAGCTCATCTGTTAGAATACTTTGGAAGGACTGGTATGGGAAGCCCCACTTAGATTGGGGCCAGTTGTTCCCAAAGGGCATGGCATGTAGGAAGAAAGACAAGAGGGAAGATGAGAAGTGAGGTGTTATCTAACTTCCTGACCAAACCAGGATACGTTGAAAGGGGAAAGGCTGTGGAGTATGACCCTGGGTTTGCACCGCAAACTTCAATAAAAAAGTGACTTTGGGCCAATGTCCAGACAAAGGCAGGCAGGCTATGTAGAGAGATCCTGTCTCAAGAAAAGGAAAAACAAGTGAGCATGGTGGTACTCAACGGCTGAGGCAGGATGGGAGTTTTTGGCCAGCCAAGGCTATTTAGAAAGACCCTGTCTATAAATAAGTTAATAGAAGGGTGGAGATATGCTGTGATTCCCAGCACCCAGGAGGCCAAGGCAGGTGATTCTGAGTTTGAGGCCAGCCTGGTTTACAGACTTCAGGACAGCCAGGGCTGTACAGTGACAACCTGTGTGTGTGTTTGTGTGGTGGGGGCTATCAGGAAAGGCGCTGTAGTCAAGCCTGATTATCTGAGTTGCATTCTGGGATCCCAGATGGTGAAAAGGGAGAAATAACTCCCACAAGTTATACTCTTGAGTCTCTCATGTGACCCCACACATACATATAAGAGACAAAAAAATTAACCGTTTATTATCGATAACTATTTGTGCACCAGGAGACTGAGACAAGGGGATTGCCACAAGCCTGGCAACCTAGCTGCACTATTATGGCAAGTACTTGGCACTGCAATATGACATTAAAAAAAAAGAACAAATTACATGTCTTAAGTGTTTTGCACATTGATATCTACAAAGTGAACACCTCTAAAGCAACTGTTCTAAGATCAAGAAATGGGTTTGCCTCCCCTTGGCAGAGCAAGCACCACACCTCTAAGTGTCCATGAATGTACAGTGGCCGTTGGTGTGCAGTGTGGACTCTGGACCGACTGTTCCTCAACCTTTTGCCAGGCAGACTCATCCATGCCATCATAATTGGCTGCAGAGTTTGCTCTCGAGGCTCTGTCTCCCACTTTGTTTACCCTGTCCATCCTTCAGTTGAAGGACTTCTGTAGAGTTGCTTGTTCAGGCTGTTGTTACAGGGAGTGCTGCCATGGCTGTTTCAGGACTCTGAACAGATCTGCCTAGGAGAGGAACTGCTGGGCCACAAGAGGCATGTGCTGGGGCTTCAACAGACATCAACCTGACCCTGCCCAAACCAGCCAAGACTGACTGGCCCACAGCAGCCAGTGTCAGGTTGGCACACAGTGCTGGCCCTGGGCCATACCAACCAGGACTGATCCATGCCAGGACAGTTGGGGCCACCCTGACACAAGGTACTTGCCCACTCTCCTGGAATCACCCAGCTGCTGGTGTATCTGGTCCTCTGGCAGGGTCAGGCCTCTGAACTCTGCCGACCACAAGCTCCACTGCCAGGAAGTCTGGCAGGCAAGCATGGGAGGAGGACCTTTTCTGGTTCCAACTTTCTAGGGAAAAACTGTCAAGCAGAGAAGACAGACCAGGAGGAAATACCTCCTCACCTCCCTGCTGTGAGATCCAGGACGCACACGCTCACGCACACACAGGAGATGGGGCTCCAGGGCACACTGGAATACACATATGTACACACACAACCTGGGGGAGTGGGGGGAACTGAGGAAAAGGGCTGCTGAGCAGGAACAGAGCTGAGCCATGAAGCTGTTTCAATCCTTCTGTCTCCCCTACCAGCAAACAGAGTTCCTACCCCAGTTCTAAGGGAAGGGTGGGGCATGGGGATGTGGATTGTAAAACAACATACTGGGAAGGCAGAAACATGCAGAGCTCTGTGTTCAGGGTCAGCCAGGGCCACTTAGAGAAGCTTTGTCTTAAGACCACAAATAAAACTGGGTCTTAGGCTTCTAGAAGCCTCTTTCTACTCAGTTGCTCCTCTTAGCCTACCCAGAGGCACCATGATCAGCGCCAGCCTTGAACAGGGCAGCTACATCTGTGTATCAAGCAAGGTACTTACATTGGGATCAGGCATGGTGCACAAGGACCCAGGAACTGGGCAGGGGAAGCCTACGGCGTAGACAAGATAGATGTCAGGCATGGGGACAGACTTGGCAGACTGGTATTCTGTCGTGTTCCCACCACACCTTTGAAGCTACTGCTTCAGATGTGAAGTCTCAGTAACAAAGAACGACAAAAGGAGAAGCCTTTGATCCATCCCAGCACTCGGGAAGCAGAGGCAGTAGAATCTCTCTCTCTTTTAAACTTGGGAGGTTTTATTGGGGGAAGGGAGTGGGGGAAGGAAAGAAGGGAGAGAGGGAGAGAGAGAGAGAGAGAGAGAGAGAGAGAGAGAGAGAGAGAGAGAGGAAAGGCCTGCCTGTCTCTTCAGAGGAGCAGCAGGAAAGAGTCAGTTGGATCTCTATGAGTTCAGGCCAGTCTGGTCTACAGAGTTCCAGAACAGAGCTACACAGAGAAACTCTTCTAGGGGGTGAGGGAGAAGGGTAGTAGGGGGAAGGGCCTCTGCAGTATTCCCACCAGGAGCTCTAAGGAATACTGGGTTGCCAGTGTTTATGGGGTATGGTGGCAGCCAGGCTTCCTGTCCCTGCCTTTCTGGTGGGTCCTCCTA